GTCAGAAGTTTACATACACTAAGTTGACTGTGCCTTTAAACAGCTTGGAAAATTCCAGAAAATGATGTCATGGATTTAGAAGCTTCAGATAGGCTAATTGACATAATTTGAGTCAATTGGAGGTGTACCTGTGGATGTATTTCAAGGCCTAGCTTCAAACTCAGTGCCTCTTAGCCTGACATCATGGGAAAATCAAACGAAATCAGCCAAGACCTCAGAAAAAAAATGTGTAGACCTCCACAAGTCTGGTTCATCCTTGGGAGCAATTTACAAACACCTGAAGGTACCATGTTCATCTGTACAAACAATAGTACGCAAGTATAAACACCATGGGACCACGCAGCCGTCATACCGCTCAGGAAGGAGACACATTCTGTCTCCTAGAGATTAACGTACTTTGGTGCGAAAAGTGCAAATCAATCCCAGAACAACAGCAAAGGACCTTGTGAAGATGCTGGAGGAAACAGGTTCAAAAGTATCCTATATCGACATAACCTGAAAGGCTACTCAGCAAGGAAGAAGCCACTGCTCCAAAACTGGCATAAAAAAGCCAAACTACGGTTTGCAACTGCACATGGAGACAAAGATCGTACTTTTTGGAGAAATGTCCTCTGGTCTGATGAAACAAAAATAGAACTGTTTGGCCATAATGACCATTGTTATGTTTGGAGGAAAAAGGGGAACGCTTGCAAGCCGAAGAACACCATCCCAACCGTGAAGCACGGGGGTGGCAGCATCATACTGTGGGGGTGCTTTGCTGCAGGATGGACTGGTGCACTTCACAAAATAGATGGCATCATGAGGAAGGAAAATTATGTGGATATATTGAAGCAACATCTCAAGACATCAGTCAGGAAGTTAAAGCTTGCTCGCAAATGGGTCTTCCAAATGGACAATGACCCCAAGCCTACTTCCAGAGTTGTGGCAAAATGGCTTAAGGACAACGAAGTCAAGGTATTGGAGTGGCCATCACAAAGCCCTGACCTCAATCCTATAGAAAATGTGTGGGCAGAACTGAAAAAGCGTGTGTGAGTAAGGAGGCCTACAAACCTAACTCAGTTACACCAGCTCTGTTAGGAGGAATGGGCCAAAATTCACCCAACTTATTGTGGGAAACTTGTGGAAGGCTACCCAAAACGTTTGACCCAAGTTAAACAATTTAAAGGCAATGTTACCAAATACTAATTGAGTGTATGTAAACTTCTAACCCACTGGGAATGTGATGAAAGAAATAAAAGCTGAAATAAATCATTCTCTCTACTATTATTCTGACATTTCACATTCTTAAAATAAAGTGGTGATCCTAACTGACCTAAGACAGGGAATTTCTATTAGGATTAAATGTCAGGAATTGTGAAAAACTGAGTTTAAATGTATTTGGCTAAGGTGTATGTAAACTTCCGACTTCAACTGTGTGTATATATATATATATATATATACATATATAACTGGATTATAGCTTCTGTCCAAATGTGGCGAATGATATATATTCTAGTCACCACTCAACAACATTACACTCAGACGTTACATCAACTTCAACCAGTAAATGCTAGCGATGGCTAGCTATGCTACTTATTCAACCAGTCTTTCTTAATGAGTGTCAGAATGCCAATAGCACACCCTGCACACAGTTATTTACATTTTTTAGGGGTATGCAGGTTGATAAAGATATCAAGCAAGCTGTATTGGACATTTCAAACATTCCCAGCTAATGAGAAAACAGTAATTAATTAAAGAGAATTAACAAAATGTAACAAGGTAACCTTGGGGCTAATTAAATGGGCGCCAACAAAACAAACATATATTAAAACTTGAAAATCAATTAATCCGCCATCATTAACACAATGGAAAAATCTAATGATTTATTATTGAAATACTGAAATAGCACGGGTGACCGAGAAAAACATATTGGCAGTTGTGTAAAGTACTTAAGTAAAAATACTTTAAAGTATTACTTAAGTCGTTTTTGGGGGGTATCTGTACTTTACTTTAATATTTATATTTTTGACAACTTTTACTTTTACTTCACTACATTCCTAAAGAAAATTATGTACTTTTTACTCCATACATTTTCACTGACACCCAAAAGTACTCCTTAGCGAACATCCCTGGTCATCCCTACCGCCTCAGGAAACACAAATGCTTTATTTGTAAATTATGTCTGAGTGTTGGAGCATGCCCCTGGCTATCCGTAAAAATAAAAAAATAAAATGTCCAACTAGTTTGCTTAATATAAGGATTTTTAAATGATTTATACTTTTACTTTTGATACTTAAGTATACTTGAGCAATTGCATTTACTTTTGTTACTTAAGTAAAACCAAATACTTTTAGACTTTTACTCAAGTAGTATTCTACTGGGTGACTTTCATATGTACTTTTCTATGAAAGTATCTTTACTTTTAAAGTATGACAATTGGGTACTTTTTTCACCACTGCAAATTGGTACAATTTAAGGCCATGTGGCAAACAATAATGCACGCACTAGGGATGTAGGTGTGAACATGGGGTAATTTGACATTATGGGGTATTGTGTGTAGATGGGTGAGAAAAAAAGCTATTTAATAAATGTTGAGTTCAGGCTGTAACACACTGTGTTCCCACGCCAGTTGCTAGTCGTGATTATCACCTTCTCTCATTCTTACACTACCAGAGAGTGTTGACTCCAATGACTCTGATAGCAGGAGTCGGAGTCGACTCCAAAAATTCTGGAGTCGTTCACCACTAGATCTACTGCCACCTGCAGTTATGGAACATTTGCTCACAAGTATAATTCATTGGCTGATCCCTCCTGATGACCTGGATGGAAATATGTGATAATTCCTTAACCCATAGGAAGTCCTTCCATAGATGACTACTTCAAAACTAGTCTGCATGTTAAAACATGCTTTTGGACACTAAAGTCCTCTAACATTCTCTATGGTTGAGAATGAGATGGAAAAATATTTGTTTAACTATACACTGTACAGTGATATCTTTGTATTTCACACTACATTAACAAATAGCCAAGTGAATTAAAAACGTTATTTGTATAAGAAGTTGTACACTGATCTTTCAACAATTTATATACTCTAGCTTGACACCTTGATAAGCTAATTTCCTGACAATGGCTCACCACTCATTATACTGGGCGACTTCAACCTCCCGACACGCCTGACTTCGATTCATTTCTTTCCACCTCTTTCTTTCCTTTCCTCTTTTGACTTCACCCTTTCCCAGTCCCCTCCCATTCACAAGGTAGGCAATGCACTTGACCTCATCTTTACTAGAGGCTGTTTGCCTACTAATCTTACTGCAACCCCCCTCCATGTCTCTGATCACTACTTTCTTTTCTTTTCTCTCCCTCTCTCCTTCAACCCTACCCACTCAGCCCCTACCCAGATGGTCAGGTGTCGTCACAATCATCGCTCTCTCTCTCCCACTACTCTCTCCTCTTCTATACCTTCTGCTTTACTTCTTCCTGTCTCTCTCTTCGACCCTACTCTCCTCCCTTTCCACATCCTTGGACTCTCACTGTCCCCTCTCCTCCTGCTCTGTGGCTGAGTGACACTGCATGCTCACAGAATAGTGCTGCGGGCAGCTGAGCAAAAATGGAGGAAAATTAAACTTCCAGAGGACCTACAATCCTTCCACTCCCTCCTCTCTGCCTTCTCTTCCTCTGTATCAGCTGCTAAAGCTGCTTTCTATCAATCTACATTTCAAACTTCTGCCTCCAACCCTGGGAAACTATTTTCCCCGTCCCTACTCCCTCTTTGTGGCTGACTTTGTCAACCACTTTGAAAACGACATCCGCTCCTCATTTACTCAGCCTACGCCTTGACCTCTTTCTCCAGATGAAATCCTGCGGCTAGTGATGTCCAGCCACCTGACAACATGTCCGCTCGACCCCATCCCCTCCTACCTTCTCCAGACCATCTCTGGAGATGTTTTCCCATTCCTCACTTACCTCATCAACTCATCCCTGACCACTAGCTGCGTCCCTTCTGACTTCAAGATGGCCAGAGTCATTCCGCTCTTCAAGAAACCAACACTCGACCCCTCTGACATCAAAAACTACAGACCTGTATCCCTTCTTTCTTTTCTTTCCAAAACACTTGAGCTTGCTGTCTATGACCAACTCTCTCATTATCTCTCTCAGGATGATCTTCTTGAGTCTAACCAGTCAGGCTTACAGAAGGCTCACTCAACTGAGACCACTCTCTTCTGTGTCACGGAGGCTCTCCGCTCTGCCAAATCTGACTCTCTCTTCTCTGTTCTCATCCTCCTAGATCTATCCGCCTCCTTCGACACCGTGAACCATCAGATCCTCCATCTGCCAAATGACTAAAATGTAAAATGTAAATATAAAGTTGTCATTGAGTGTCTGCTAAATGACTAACATTTCAAATGTAAATATAAAGTTGTCCTTGCGTTTATAGGTGAGATTGACAAGAGAAAAACATCTACAGCTGTCATTTATATCCTAATTGTTATTCCTACTCAAGTAGAATTATGAATTACTAATTGTGGTATCATAGCCCTTCTAAGGACTATGTTGACACCAGCAGAGCCCCATAGATTGCTATGCTGGGCACCTCTGCTGGGCAACAGAGGGAGTGCAACTTCTTCAGATGCTGATGTAGCCTATCAAAAGCTATTGTAAATTTGTCATGCCAATTTAACATTTACAAAACAATACAAATACTGCGTCACTGTATGTGCAAATCCCTGTAATTGTCATATTTATGTGACAATTATATACATCAAACATGTAATATGATTGATAGGATTTTTAATGTTGATATTTGTATTTTATTTTCAAGACTCCTTGTTGGTTATTGCCTTCTTTCCCTTCTATCTCTCCCCTAACTTGTATGTTATACTATGCTTATGTACAAAAAAAGATGATCAATGGCAAATGTGTGCAAAATAGCTACAAAATCTATGATTCCTTTTGAAGTACACCGCTATCCCCCGGAAGTTACGCAGCATAAAGTGTTTGGCGTTTGTTTTCCTCACAGACGCTGGGGTTCCTGCGGCTTCTGGGTTGAACTCCGCTACTGCAATAAAACAGATCTTGTCCGCTCATCTGACGCGCAACACAGGTTTGTCTACCTTGCATATTGTTGTACATTTTTTTGATGATATCTAGCTAGTAGCTGTCACACTTTACAATAGATAACCACTCAACTAGCGGGAGATCAATGTATAGCTTGCTTAGGACTGTGTTTATTTTAGCAGCAAAATTGCACTGGCTGCAAGTAACAATCATTGGAAACAACATGCCCTTGTTGCTAGCTAAGTTAATTGTAATTTCTCACACGAGGCCTCAAACACCTCGTACATCCGATAGCCTGGTTATTGCAGGCTACGCATGATTACTAGCTATGTTATAAAATACATGCAATATTCATCAGCTAATCTGAAAAATCAGAACAGTAATTTTGTGGCTTGCAAGGCTGTTGCTAAATGGACCGGTGACGTCGCGAAGGCAGCTACTGTAGCGAGCTGTTACTAGCCAGATTAGCTAGCTAAACTAGTAGGGTTAATTATACAAATCTTTGTTAGTAGCTAAGCAGATGACGTTACCATTGAGAAAATGTCATGTTTTTCGTTTGTATTCATTACAGGTCATCGACTAGTTTTGAATGATTGGAGCACCGATATTTGGCAAATAGATGCTGATGTTGTTGTGCTAAGCAGCTAGCTAGCTGTTAGCAATGTTCGCAAGCTTGCTCGCTCAGCTGAGCTATAGCAGAGGAAGAGGCGAAGGTATAGCTATGCAATGGTAGACTAGCTAGCTTGCTGACAACATTTGACAGCAAGCTGACTGAGCCTTGCGGTTTTGAGGCGTCGCTCAAGCTTGGTCGAAATATGCTTTGAAGATGCTAAGCTGCTAGCTAATGGCATAGCCAAAGATACTACAGTAGCTAACAATGTTTGAAAGGTTTAAAAACTCTCTGCCATAGTTACATTTTAATATTATTTAGTAACTGGGGTTATTATTAGCTAACGTTAGTTGGCTAGCCCATATGTAACTCTGTGTTGGTTTTATCGCACTGCTTTGGTTTATCTTGGCCAGGTCGCAGTTGTAAATGAGAACTTGTTCTCAACTGGCTTACCTGGTTAAATAAATAAATAAATAAAAAGGATAACTAACGCTAGACGAAACCTGCTCTGGTCAAAGCTTGAGCTTTAAGTGAGCTAAGCTGTATGCATTAAATTGTGAAAGAAAATGTATTTACTAAAGGATGATCAAGGCAAACTGAATTCTTGTTGAATATATATTTTCACCGTTTGTAAAAAATAAAACTTTTCAGTTGCAGTGTCATCTTTCATCAGGCCATTCTTTAATGCCATTCTCTACTCATCAGCTCTAGCTAATTAGCCTACCTGATGATACGATTCAATTTGGTGATTTTTCAGGGTTACAATTGTCATCGCACACACTCCGATAAATGGTATGCAGTGCACTGCCACAGCATATTGTATGTTGTACTTAACTATAGCATAAATCATATTGGCATGACTTAGGTGGCTCACTTGTTTACCTTGCTAGATACTGCAAGTCGCTTCACAGTCCTTCCCTTAGATTTGACCTGGAGAGGGAAATGTTGTCTTGCGTTTCCTCCTCCACTTGTCTATAGTTCTGTATTTTGGTTTCTTGAAATGGATGCTGTTATCAGGCTGTCCTGCAACTTTACATGGAGATTGTGCTGCAACAATGTCTATTTAAACTGTACTTGTCCGTTACATTTGACAACATGGTAATGATGTGCGTTTTTCACTAAGATGGACCAGCAGGCCCAGTCCTATATGCTTGCCAGTCTGACGCGGCCCCACTCTGAGCAGCTGCTGCAAGGTCTCCAGCTGTTGCGGCAGGACCATGAGCTGTGCGACATTGTGCTGCGTGTGGGTGATGCCAAGATCCATGCCCACAAAGTGGTGCTGGCGAGCATCAGCCCCTACTTCAAGGCCATGTTCACGGGCAACCTGTCAGAGAAGGAGACCTCTGAGGTGGAGTTCCAGTGCATTGACGAGGCTGCGCTACAGGTAATGGTAATTTAACCTCACTGTCAGCATTTGGAAGATTTGACTGTGTTTCCTAAAAGCACACCTTGTCCGGCTCTTTCATAGCATGATTGTGTTTAACTTCTCCTCTTGTAGGCCATCGTTGAGTATGCCTACACTGGCACAGTATTCATCTCACAGGAAAGAGTGGAGTCCCTACTGCCAGCTGCTAACCTGCTCCAGGTCAAGCTGGTGCTGAAGGAATGCTGCTCCTTCCTAGAGAGCCAGCTAGATGCTGGGAACTGTATAGGCATCTCCCGCTTTGCTGAGACCTATGGCTGCCATGATCTCTGCCTGGCCGCCACTAAATTCATCTGCCAGAATTTTGAAGAGGTGTGCCAGACAGAGGAGTTTTTTGAGCTGACACGGGCAGAGTTGGATGAAATAGTGTCAAACGACTGTCTGAAGGTGGTAACAGAAGAGACTGTGTTCTACGCCCTGGAGTCGTGGATCAAGTACGATGTGACTGAGCGGCAGCAGTACCTGGCTCAGCTACTGCACTGCGTCCGCCTGCCTCTCCTCAGCGTTAAGTTCCTCACCCGCCTCTACGAGGCCAACCACCTTATCCGGGATGACCACGCCTGCAAGCACCTGCTCAACGAGGCCCTCAAATACCATTTCATGCCTGAGCACCGGCTCTCCTACCAGACAGTGTTGTCCACACGGCCACGCTGTGCTCCCAAGGTGCTCCTTGCTGTGGGAGGCAAGGCTGGACTCTTTGCCACACTCGAGAGGTAATGCTGAGCCCCAAACACAATCATTCAAAACTGTTTGGCAACAATTTGGTATTGTAAATGCTTAATGTGTTTCATGTGAATTAGAAAGAAATGGAACAAATGTAACTGTTCTTATTTCTTTCTCTTGTAGCATGGAAATGTACTTCCCTCAGACGGATTCATGGATTGGGCTTGCCCCTCTTAGTGTACCCCGCTATGAGTTTGGAGTGGCAGTGTTGGACCAGAAGGTGTATGTGGTGGGCGGCATCGCCACGCACATGCGACAGGGCATTAGCTACCGGAGACATGAGAGCACAGTGGAGAGCTGGGACCCTGACAGCAACACGTGGTCCACAGTGGAGCGCATGGCGGAGTGTCGCAGCACATTGGGGGTGGTGGTCCTGGCTGGGGAGCTCTATGCCCTGGGGGGCTATGATGGCCAGTACTACCTACAGTCGGTAGAAAAATATGTCCCCAAGGTGAAGGAGTGGCAGCCTGTGGCACCCATGACCAAGTCACGCAGCTGTTTTGCCACGGCTGTGCTGGATGGCATGGTGTATGCCATTGGTGGCTATGGCCCCGCCCATATGAACAGGTACGTTTTCACTTAATCTAGTCAATCTGCGCTGAAATTATGGATTTTCACAGGCCGTTTTGCTAATGTGGTTCCAATAGGCTTTTGAAATACTAGGCCTACTTCAAAACCTGTCGTCAACCTTTTTGTTCCTACACATGACAGTTTTCACATCAAAGGTTATTTATGGTAGACCCCACAACCTTTGAGTGCTTTGATCCATCCATTCAAAGAGTTTCAGCCCTCTTTTCAGCCCCCTGCTCTGTTACTAGCCTGCAGTGCAACCCATATTCTGTAGGATCAAGATTTGTGGTCTTCTACTCAGACGGATATACAGTGCCCTCTGTAATTATTGGGACAGTGAAGCATTTTTTTCTACTTTTGGCTCTATACTTTAACCTCAGTCATTGTTTGATTTCAAATCCCAACTTTTAAAGTGCAGACTGTCAGCTTTAATTTTAGGGTATTTTCATCCATATCCCTTTTAGAAATTACAGCACTTTTTGTAGATAGCCCCCCCCACCCCACCCCACACACATTTTAGGGGAACAAAATTATTGGGACAAATTCACTTGTGTATTAAGAAGTATTTGGTCCCATATTCTTAGCACGCAATGACTACATCAAGCTTGTGACTACAAATTTGTTGGATGCATTTGCTGTTTGTTTTGGCTGTTTCAGATTTATTTTGTGCCCAATTAGAAATTAATGGTGAATAATGTATTGTCATTTTGTAGTCAATTTTATTGTAAATAAGAATCAAATATGTTTCTAAACACTTCTACTTGAATGTGGATGCTAGCATGATTACGGATAATCCTGAATGAATAGAGTGAGTGAGAAAGTTAGACACAGAAATATCATACCATCATATTCTATTCTTATTTACAATAAAAGTGACTCAAATGATACTACATTATTTAGCATTAATTTCTATTGGGCACAAAATTATCTGCAACCAAAACAAACAGCAAATGCATCCAACAAATTTGTAGAGTCACAAGCTTGATGTAGTCATTGCATGCTAGGAATATGGGACCAAATACTTTTTAATACACAAGTGAATTTGTCCCAATACTTTTGCGCCCCTAAAATGGGGGGACTATGTACAAAAAGTGCTGTAATTTCTGAAATGTTGATAGGATATTGATGAAAATCCCCTAAAATTAAAGCTGACAGTCTGCACTTTAACCTCATAGTCATTGTTTGATTTCAAAACCAAACTTTTAAAGTATAGAACCAGAAGAAGAAGCAATTCTTCACTGTCCCAATAATTATGGCGGGCACGGTAGTTGCTTTCATAGAATAAGAGCTGGCTTTCTGGTTAGACCTCTGTTGTTGTCTTTGCTCACTAGAGGGATGTGTTGTTGTTACCCAGTTTCCTTGACTCCCCAAACCCCTCAGGAGAATGTGTTTGGACAGGGAAGCCCCCCCCCCCCCCCCCCATGAGACCTGCAGGCACTTAGTTGCTCAAAAGTAATTCCCAAATTGGCAGTTTTCCGACAATGTTGTCGAGGGTTTCATCACTTTGATATCGCCTGCAAAATATAGGACTAGAATAGATGATGGCCTCATTTAAATTGGGCTGCATTGGGTTGTGATGACAATGCCATAGCTATATAATGTCTAAGAACAAAAAGGAGCAATAGTGAATTGTATTTGCTTTGATTCAGGGAAAGGTGACTCAGTCATTTTATATGATGGGCTATAAGTAAGTATTAGGCCTGCTACTGTACTAACCTGTTTAAAAAGACAGCAGTGATATTGTCAAAATGCACAGTATCACTATAACTGTGCCACTTAACTGTGTTTAATTGATTAACTCTGTCTCTCTACTGTGCAGTGTGGAGCGGTACGACCCCAGCAAGGATGCCTGGGAAATGGTAGCCCCCATGGCAGACAAACGGATCAATTTTGGCGTTGGTGTCATGCTAGGGTTCATATTTGTGGTTGGGGGACACAACGGGGTATCACACCTGTCCAGCATTGAGAGGTATGACCCACACCAGAACCAGTGGACAGCGTGTCGGCCCATGAATGAACCACGCACAGGTGAGTTGGGAAATGACCACAACAAGGTTGATTTTATTTTGATGCAGGGAAGTTGACCATTCATATTGCATGGCCAGAAATAACAATTTTATAATATCTATCTTCCCAGGGGTTGGCTCAGCGATCGTGGACAACTACCTCTATGTGGTGGGGGGTCACTCGGGATCATCCTACCTGAACGCTGTCCAGCGGTACGACCCCATCACAGACAGCTGGCTGGACTCAAGCGGCATGATGTACTGCCGCTGTAACTTTGGCCTGACTGCTCTTTGACCCATGCCACCCCTGGGTAGGACGCCTTAAGAAGACTTAGACAAAAGGCATTTCTTTTTTTGTTTTGTTTCCCCCATTCATCGCCAACGGGCTGAGGAGGGCTCCACACTGCCGTGGATCCCAGAGAGAGAGCTTGTTGCTGGATGAATGAGCCCGGCTGGCGCCAGGGAACCACAGATGACCAGAGTGAAAGGGTCTGGGTGGAGGAGCGGTGCAGATCACCATGGGTCTTGTCACAGAGACCAGGAGATGACCACTCTACTGCTGCTGGACCATAAAGAGGACTTTTCAAAGATGACTGTGGGTGAAAACTGTCACTTTTTTTCATTGAAAACTTTTTGTTTTGTTTGTGTTCATGCCATTATTTCTGTTTCACACTCTATACATTTTTTTATTGTTGTTGCTATGAGCAGAACATGTTTCAATTTTCTAGATCCTTAAAGTTTGTGTGTGCGTGTGACGCAGAGTGTCTGTATGCTTGTGAGTAGATGCATGTCAGATTAAATGATTGATTGTTCTTTTGTGTCTCTGTGTGCAGGACTAAAGCTCAGGCAAGGTGATTGGCTCACACAGAGTTTGAAATGTCTGCATCTAAATCAGTGCTTCACACAGAGAAAAATCTGAATATTTATATTCACTTAAAGGGCTGCCTTTTTTTCTCTGTAAATAGTTTAAATTAAAAGAAATGTATAGATATGAATATATCCTCTAGTGCATTGCCTGTAAATGTTTTTTGCACTGGGTTACTAGTTATGGGATGTGTGTGTGTACATGTATTTGATTCAAGAAGAGGTTGTGAAGGATAAACAAACCCCACTGAGTTCTCCTGAGAGTACTTGCCACCTGTCACAGTTTCATCCTCGGAGCAATTCGGAAATCCCCATGTTACGACTTCTATTACATCTTCCTGTGGTAGTCACACTTCATCCCTCTTCATAAGCATTGAAAAGTTATCCTGTCCCGCTTTTCACTGCTGGGTTTGTACACAATACTAACTGGTGCTATTAGGATTCAGGATTCAGCTGTTGTCTGTGTTGCCTCATGGTATCAGGCGTATTTTATTTGTTCCTCTGTGTTGTTGTAGATGTTGGTTGTATACTTGTGCATCAAAATGACTAAAATTGACATGTCCCATGCTATAAAGCAGTGTGTTGTGGGAAGGCAAGCTTGTGACTGGAATACCACAAACACCAGTCTTTACTTTGAGCCCCATGTTAAATTGGACTCTTTAGGCACTGTCTATGGATACATTTATGATCTGATGCTTTCACTCTTCAGCCCCAGGGATGCCATCCGTTTAGCTATAGTTTGTCTGAAACATTGTCCCTGCATTAAGAAGTAGTGGATCTGGCTGTATGGCTCACTGCCAGTTTCCTCACAAAGAAAGTCTGAGATTGTTGGTCTCTAATGGATTAGGAACAAGCCTAGCGGTTAAGAGCGTTGGTCCAGTAACCAAAAGGTCGCTGGGTCGAATCCTCGAGCCGACTAGGTAAAAAATCTGTCTGTGCCCTTGAGCAAGGCACTTAACCCTAATTGCTCCTGTAAGTCACTCTGGATAAGAGTGTCTGCTAAATGACTAAAATGTAAATGTAATGCCCCCCCCCGCTTGCCACCTCTCTGATGAAGCATGTATGAGAAGCTGCATGTGGCCAAGGCCTTCCTGAGGAGCTCAGGCAAAAGTGCATAGTCTGGTGTAACTTCCCCCTGTGTGCCAGAATCAAAGGGGTTATTTTCACTGCTAATGCATAGTATGTGACATTCTGCCGTGCTGTCATATGGATGGGGTGGATATGGAGCACTAAGGGCTGTGTTCTATGTCAAGCAAAATTGTCAGTGTCAAACTATTTGGCCCTCAGAGACATGGCAGACAGACAAGGGCATGGAGACAAGACTGAGCTCAATGTGCTCCCCTGGGTTAGATGGCTGCAGGCCGAGTCTGGGTGTTGTAGCCTTGGGCCACGCTGAAGGGCAGGTAACATGAGGCTATAGATCGAGAACTTAGGTGTCAACCTCAGTCCCTGTTGTTGCTTCTTGTATTGTACATTATAGGTGTTTGCACATGTGGAAAACTTAAAAGGGAGCTCTGCATTGCACTTACCAAACTAATTGATGAGCAGTGTAATTTCGATTTGTACATAGGTCTCAATTTAGGTTAATGGAATTTAAACAATGCAATACATTTGTGGATAAAATGATTTTTGCTTTGAATTTAGCCTCAAAAGCCAAGGCGTCTCATATTGCTGTGATGTTATCACACATGGCATGTCTGTTCACATGTTAGTTGTTTATATTGTCTGAAAGACCACCATCCAAACCTTTGTTTTCCCCATCCCACTTTGCATTGTGCGCTCTCATCTTTGAAGAGCCATTTTCCAATGTTGTGCATGTCAGTTCACATGTACTAGGAAAAGTTTGCAGACCGAATCAAATGGATTGTACTCCAGTAAAAATCCCAGTTGTTTAGCATTTTTCGCAAGTAATGTAGGATTGGCACAAGACTGGTCTTGCTCTAAGCCATCTGATCTTGTCTGTCTCACCAGAGAGCAGCTTTGCAGTTACAGTACTGCAGTTGTGTTCTACCATTTACACACTTGTCAGTTGTGATTACCAATACTCTCTAGCTCTTACCCTCTAAACGTTACCTTGGATGTAATACATTCTAGGATTAAGGGAAGCCCCCCCCCCCCAACAAACATCTTAAGACTGTTTAGTCTTGATCTAGCAATAAGAGACCATGGTCAGCATCTCCGCACAAAGGATGAGAGCTTGTCCGAGAACAAGCATGCAAGTTCTTCACTTGACTTCTCTTCTTTAAAATGTTGGTGGTTGAGTCTTAGGTGAAGTTAAATTGGCTTTAAAAGTGAATTTATTTCTAAAACAGGTTGTTTCATGGTTAGACCTGCTGCTGCTGTTTTTTCATCCTGGAATAGTGGGCTTTACCATTTCACAGTGGAAACATCTCCAGTAATTTGTGATTTCTCAAAAAAAATATGTTTAAGTTGCCATGGGATGGAAGTAAATTGTAAGCCATTTCAACTTGCATGACTGTAAAGCTCCTATTCTAATGCAGACTATTTACATAACCATGAATTGGTTGTCATTTCTTCAGATTTTATTCGTATGAATAATGTGAACGCAAATCCAACATATTGCAAAAAAGCAATAGGTGAAATTGTACATCCTTGGAAGATACTAAGATAACTTTGGTGAATAAACTGCCATTTCATATAGTTCAAAAGGAACTAATAATGTATTACATTAACCATTTTCATTGAATAGTCCTTTCCCTTTAGATTGTTGCAATTCAGTTTTTTTAATTATTGATGTTAGGCCATTGAGGCATTTGTCCATCCACAACAGTTTGGGAGGATGAACCTGAAAGATGAGCCAAAACTGAGTGAAAATCACGCTGGCGTGATTTCTGTCTGCAGCTGCCATCCATTGTCAAGCATTTGTGTTACTACTAGCATGTATAGAAAGATGTTATCCTTGTGGGGATATTGAAGACCCAACATACATTTTAGGGATGTATGTATAGTCTTTACTGCGTTGTGGAGGGAAACTTTTGGCCATACGTGGAATCTGAAAACGTGAAACTGCAAAATGAAGGGATGTATGTGAAGTAATCTTTTTGAAGAAAAATAAGTGTTCTTTTATCATGCCCTAATCATGTCTTGTTTTGTCACCACTCTCACCAAAGTGCTTGTTTTACTTAAGAATGCAGAGGGAATACTAATATAAAGTCTGGAAAAGACTAAGGTCACTGTCTCGTGTCTGGAAAAAAAAAAGTCTTTTGAAACTGATGTCAATGTTAGCCAAATTACCACTGCTTCTTTTACATTTCCCATGAGTGTGTCTGAACTGGCTTAAGGTGATAATGTTGAATTCTATATCCTGTGGATTATTACTGGAACTACAAGAACCTTGATGTAGAAGCAGTATTTTTTTTTTGACATTTTATCATGCTTTGAACATATACATTTTAGCCAGTTTATTTATGTGTGGTGCAGTTGTACCCAGTTAAAATTAATAAATGCCTGCCTTAAAAGGTACGCTTTGTTGTTATTTGGCTCTAGTTTCTTAGTTATATGGTGCACATGAGCAACAAAAAGACACTTTAGAATATAAAAATATTTGTATTGCTTTAAAAAAAAGACAATGACATCATAGAAATAAGACACATGAACAAGGAATTTTGCTCATAAGACAGTTTCGTTATGTAGTTCTGACAAGAATGAAATTGTACACTGATAAATTGGCAGAGGCACAATGTGACAATGAGCATTGAACCCTGTTCATTATTTCCAAATGATCAAATGCATTACAAAATCACATTTGTATACTAATATTTACTACAGTTTTGACATCTTTAGATTGGGATGTAGTAATTCACCTTATTGAATTGTGCAGGATATCATATGCTACTATGAAAGGCAAGCAAGCACTCAAGAAGCACTTCTGTAATGTCACTGTGCTGGGGTACTTGTAAGTACAAGTAATTACTTACATTTAACACAGAACTGATATTTTGTCCAATGATACATTTTATGGCAATTTATTCAATTATTTGAGCATGTATTAATTCTAACAATTTCACTGTGACATTTCACTTCCATCAAGTTGAAGCCCAATGGACAACTTAAAACAAGCAAGTAAATCAAGGATGATGATTGAATTTCCACAAAATACAAAGCAATACTTAAACGGTTTCTAATGTTTTCAAACTACAGTGGAAATAGTATAAAAAAGCACCAGTTTGATCTGAAGTCAGGGCTGGTATGCACAAATGGATTGTAGTAGATACTGTAAGTCCTGTACCAACTCTCACAGAAGCTTTGCTGGTCTAGCCTATATACCCTGTTGACAATTCTACGTCAAAGTTTAATTAGCTGAATTTGCTTCTCTGAAAGCCATCCCATCCCACCCAAGAGAACACGCTGCAAGCAAACTTTTCAACTCAAACATTTACACAATAAAGCTATTTAAAGGTTATGAGTTGATTCTTCAATATGCATACCTGCCCAGAACTATTATAGTCCATACATATATTCTTGGATTCCAAGCATGCCCAAAGAGAAGATGCACTTATCATTTTCCACACTGAGCATTTCAGAGGCAACAGTAAGGCAAAATAGAGCACATCATTTCAAAAGTAATCTTAAAGTATAAAACTGAACAAGGACGTTGTTGACATGACCTCTCCTAAAAAAAGTTTGGAAATGTGGTATAAGCATTTTCAAACAACTAAATACAAATGTCATTAAATATGATTAGGTGCTAAAAAAAAAAAGTTTTCTGGTATGCTCTCACTGAGGAATGGAAGACAAAACCATGATTAACCAAATGTAAGGTAAATTATAAAAATTTTCTGTGAATTAAGGGCAATAAAAAGAAAGACAGGAAGGTTTAAGTGTAGGTGAGGAATTTTCTAAAAATTCCTTCCTATTAGTGCTGTCTAGTGTCCCTCCTTCCTTCTGTGTCCCTTCAGGAACCTGGTGACAAAGTTGGGGTCAATACCATTTCGGTTCAATTCTATTCCGGGTCGTCCGGGTTTGGCCGGGGTAGGATAAGAATTAGTTCTTAACTGACTTGCCTAGCTAAATAAAGGTTAAAAATAAAATATTCAAACCCCGAAGTAATGAAAAATGGATCTGACCCCATCCCTGCTTGGTTACCTTTGTGCATCTCATTTGTCCGAGGCACGGATGTAGACAAGGGAAGAGAGCAGCAGGAGTTCAGGGGGCTTGTTTAACAGGATCAGGTTGTCGCTCCTCAGCCCGTCATAGTGCATCCAATAGCCATCTATCTGGAAGGCTGCAGAGTAGTGATGCTCTTCCTTGTTGAAGAGTGTTGCGCCCTCCAGTGAGTACCTATTGAAAAGCACAGAGACATTTCTATTTTTTTGCATGTCTCGGTTACCAGAAAAAGCTTAAAGAAATCAATGCAAATAGCAAAGTACAGGCAAGGAGGTTACTTAAAAACAAAATAAAAACAGACTGGAGATATTGACAATCAATTACATTTAATTAACAACCGGGGATAAAAAGAACAGCATCAGACAATGAGGCTGGGATTGGAGTCCTCCTGCTCTACATGGATCCTTACCTGTGTTGGGACAGGGCCAGATGGTAAGGGACGTAGGACAGCTCCTCAGACTTCCACAGCTGCATGTTGAGAATGACAAAAGGAGGTGGTCCGTGGCAGAAGACCCTCTGAGAGAACTCCCTCAACCCATTACACCTGCAGAACAGACAGAAATTCATTCAGCATCATAGAAAAGACCAGGAGATATTATAGGATATGATGGTTCAACATTTACATTATGTCTCTCACCCCAGTTCTTTGCAGAGAATGATTTTGGGACAGAAGAACTCCTCCACCGCTGACTGAATGGGATCTCTATGGGGCAGCTCATGAGGAGGACTGGGAAGGAAGAAAAATGGTAAGAAGTCTGACTCTGAACAGCACCAGTATCAGGCTACATAGATGCATTTACACTAACCTAATTAATCATTTTAAACTCCACCAGAAAGAAAAGCACCTATGAAAACGACTGAAATAGTAGTTGGGATTTGGTAATAGGTATAATCCACTGTCTAAATACAGCCCACCGTGGGTAAACATGCCTTTATAAGGCTCTAGCAGAGATTGAACCAGAGCTGTTTAGAAATCAACTGCTCTCTTCATAGTTTTATACTGTGAGCCAGGATTGTGCTCAATCCAGAATTGAATTGAGAATGCCTCATAAATTCCAATTCAATTCTTGAATTTCAATTGAAGTAGTTAACAAGATACAGAATTGCAATATAATTTAATTCAGTGAAATTCAAATGCCTCTTCTATTCTACACTGAGTGTATAAAACATTAGGAACACCTTCCTAATATTGAGTTGCACACCCTTTTGCCCTCAGAACAGCATCAATTCGTTGGGGCATGGACTCTACAAGGTGTCGAAAGCATTCCACAGTGTTGAGTGAAAAACCCTTCGGGGTTTTGGCAGATGCCCTTTATCTACTTCCCTATAGTCAGATGAACTCGTGGATACAATTTTTGTATCTCTGTGTCCAGTATGATGGAAGTTAGAGGCAGTTTTGCGAGCCCTCGCTAACTAGCATTAGCGCAATGACTGGAAGTGTATGGGTATCTACTAGCCTAAGGGCATCTTCCAAAATTCCGAAGTATTCCTTTAACCTGTCTCCTTCCCTTCATCTACACTGATTGAAGTGTTTTCAACAAGTGACATCGATAAGGGATCATAGCTTTCACCTGGTCAGTCTGTCATGGAAAGAGCAGGTGTTTCTAATGTTTTGTACACTCAGAGTATTTTTTAATTTTAATTTTACCTTCATTTAACTAGGCAAGTCAGTTAAGAACAAATTCTTATTTATGTGTAGTCTATACAAATATACATCTTGTACATAAAACATCAAGCATGTCATTATATACATTCATATATATACAGTGGGGGAAAAAAGTATTTAGTCAGCCACCAATTGTGCAAGTTCTCCCACTTAAAAAGATGAGAGAGGCCTGTAATTTTCATCATAGGTACACGTCACCTATGACAGACAAAATGAGAAGAAAAAAAATCTGAAAATCACATTGTAGGATTTTTTATGAATTTATTTGCAAATTATGGTGGAAAATAAGTATTTGGTCAATAACAAAAGTTTCTCAATACTTTGTTATATACCCTTTGTTGGCAATGACACAGGTCAAACGTTTTCTGTAAGTCTTCACAAGGTTTTCACACACTGTTGCTGGTATTTTGGCCCATTCCTCCATGCAGATCTCCTCTAGAGCAGTGATGTTTTGGGGCTGTCTCTGGGCAACACAGACTTTCAACTCCCTCCAAAGATTTTCTATGGGGTTGAGATCTGGAGACTGGCTAGGCCACTCCAGGACCTTGAAATGCTTCTTACGAAGCCACTCCTTCATTGCCCGGGCGGTGTGTTTGGGATCATTGTCATGCTGAAAGACCCAGCCACGTTTCATCTTCAATGCCCTTGCTGATGGAAGGAGGTTTTCACTCAAAATCTCACGATACATGGCCCCATTCATTCTTTCCTTTACACGGATCCATCGTCCTGGTCCCTTTGCAGAAAAACAGCCCCAAAGCATGATGTTTCCACCCCCATGCTTCACAGTAGGTATGGTGTTCTTTGGATGCAACTCAGCATTCTTTGTCCTCCAAACACAACGAGTTGAGTTTTTACCAAAAAGTTATATTTTGGTTTCATCTGACCATATGACATTCTCCCAATCCTCTTCTGGATCATCCAAATGCACTCTAGCAAACTTCAGACGGGCCTGGACATGTACTGGCTTAAGCAGGGGGACACGTCTGGCACTGCAGGATTTGAGTCCCTGGCGGCGTAGTGTGTTACTGATGGTAGGCTTTGTTACTTTGGTCCCAGCTCTCTGCAGGTCATTCACTAGGTCCCCCCATGTGGTTCTGGGATTTTTGCTCACCGTTCTTGTGATTATTTTGGTGAGATCTTGCGTGGAACCCCAGATCGAGGGAGATTATCAGTGGTCTTCCATTTCCTAATAATTGCTCCCACAGTTGATTTCTTCAAACCAAGCTGCTTACCTATTGCAGATTCAGTCTTCCCAGCCTGGTGCAGGTCTACAATTTTGTTTCTGGTGTCCTTTGACAGCTCTTTGGTCTTGGCCATAGTGGAGTTTGGAGTGTGACTGTTTGAGGTTGTGGACAGGTGTCTTTTATACTGATAACAAGTTCAAACAGGTGCCATTAATACAGGTAACGAGTGGGGGACAGAGGAGCCTCTTAAAGAAGAAGTTACAGGTCTGTGAGAGCCAGAAATCTTGCTTGTTTGTAGGTGACCAAATACTTATTTTCCACCATAATTTACAAATAAATTCATTAAAAATCCTACAATGTGATTTTGGACTGTCAATTTTGGACTTGCTGCTTGACTAAAATAAGGCCCAGCTGTCTAATGCTCACAGCAGGGTTGTGCTCAATTCAGAATTTTTGAATTGAGCACAACCCTGCTGTGAGCATTAGACAGCTGGGCCTTACTTTAGTCAAGCAGCAAGTCAAGGGGGAGAAATAAAAGCTTATTGAAGACAGGTGTAGACCAGCTGTCCAGAAGAATTAGCAAAGCAAGCAATAGAAACAGGGAAGGCCCTCCCATTTGACAGTCCAGTTCACCCCACTGAACTAATTGAGTTCATAGTTTATTTGTAGTAACTAACTATTCATTTCCATACTAATGAAGGATCACTGGTCTCTGATCAGAAGCTCTGGGAGATAAGGCGCAAAGCAAATCCTCCCACACTGACCAGCTATCAGACTTTGATTTGCAGCCCCTGCCTCTCTTACTTGATGTTGATGGTTCTCTGTAAGAACTCCTGGAAGCGAGCAGGACAGCTCCATTTGGTGCATAGGCTCTCCTGCATGGTGGACAGCATGGTCTCTAAATTCTTGGTGAAGTTCTCATGTTCGTTACCAAACAGATCAATCTCCAACGCTGCATGGTGGATCACTGAGCGGTACTGCCTTTTGGACATCCTGTCCCAGATCCACAGCATCTTAACGGTGGTGTAGTCATACGAGTCCATCAGGTAGAGGAAATGCTCTACAAACTGCCTGCCTAGAAAGATGCCCACCTCCCGGGGAAAGCTCTGGTTGTCTCTCAGGATGACATAGAGGATCATGAGGAACCCGTCGATGGTGCAGGTGTTCTTTAGGTTTATCTTAACATACAGAGGGGTGCATGAGATGGCCCTCCTCCCCGCCCTGATGGTGTAGACGCCCCCCCATGGGAGCACAGGCCTCCAAAAGGAACGGTCCTCTTCATCATTGTTGTTGATGGATGCACGGATCTCCTCAAACAAAGTCTTTGTCCTAAGGAGACAACATGAAGATATAAGTTATCATTCCCTCTGGGTTAAGGGGTGAAGTTGATCTTAAGCACAGAGCTAGGATCAGCTTATACCCTCCTTAAATCCTTACCTTGATCCTACATCTTCCTTATGACTAATAAGGGTTTTCTTGTATGTCTTGATGAAGGAAGGTATTCATAATTTACTAAATGCCTAATTCATTAAATTACGAATGAGTGTATGGCAAAACATCCCTCAAACCAGGGCCCAGGATCATCTTGTAACGTTAGCAAGCAAACTGTCTGATGATGACATGCACATTTGCAATGCAATCCCAGGTAAATTACATCAAATGTTATTTGTCATATGATTCGTAAACAACAGGTGTAGACTAAAAAAGAGAAATAATAGAAAAATAATAACACGAGGAATAAACACAGCTAGCTACATTATACATATTTACAAATATATATTATCAGCATTGTTATTGTAGTCAACATAATTTGATAAATTGAATAGAAGATGAACATGGCAGATAGTTAACTATAATTAATGCTCTAGCATGCAAGCTGCAACACACACCCTGGTATACGCCAGCTGCTAGCTGACGTTAGTTTAGCAGACCATCTAGCTAGTTAGCTACCTCCACTGTAACTAGCTAGTATTAACGTTAGTAGCTAGCTTTGAACATAGCTAGCTAGATAGTTAACTACCTAGCTAAGTAAGTGCAGCCTTCTAAAACCCCGTGTTGATGCGTTTAAGTGTCGATGCAATATTGAATACTGCTGATGTCGGTTAATCTACTAATGTTTGGCAAGATATTTACTGTAGTTATTGGTTGGCTAGCCTAGCTAGCTAGCAGCTAACGTTACCTTTCAATTTGCAGACTCTCTTCGGTACTTGAAATTAGGGTTCTGAGGTCTTCTGTGTCGGTCAAAATGCAGAATTTGCTCTCCATCGTTCTCTGTATTTCTTCATGTCTTAATTCAGGCCAACAGCCACAAATGCTTATATGACCACTACTAGTATTTTCTATAACCCTCGAGAAAGCTTCAAAACATTCTGAGCAATGACAAGTTACGCCCATTGCACCACATAGCCACGCCCACATTCATTGGTTTGTTACGCCCTTCAGCCCTTTTCAGCAGTGCAATGCTGCCACCTGCTGTCTGAAAGATCTTTGCTTTTCATTAGATTTTTCACAGATCTGCCTCCGCCTCTTGAGGTGGCGCGCAGGGGTGTAAATCTTATTGCGTCCTCTGTTGTAGGGGTTTTATATGATTTTAAGACGCATATGATTGGCCAACAGTTCCTGCCCTCAACTCAGACTGTTCTCTGGTAGGTTGACCGCATTGACAGCAACACAGATGACTCCACCCACTAGTATCTACGTCTTTAGTTACGTATGCCCATATTCTTAGAAGTTTTTATGGCCATAATTGTACGAGCATTATTGATGTGGGCTACGCTAGGATCGTAGCTAATTTACATCATTACCGCCATAAGTAATCAGAATCAAAACTCAATCAGAGGGAAGAGATACGTTGTTTTCACGGGACGAACTTTCTTTCAGCCAACAATGTCAGCCCAAATCATCAGTGGTAAAGAAGTTTCGGCGTAAGTGATTTACTGTCAGTTTTTGTAATATTTCTTACCATGTCTGTTGGATGAAATGGTGCTGCTTGGTTGTCGACCACAGCAAGTGTATCACGCACGTTTTTGTAACTTTGCTCGCTAGCACGTAACTCTGGTGCATGGTGCAGAAGTTTTAGAAAGCACTATGTTGATTTTGTGTAAACTTTTAACATCGCTTCCTCGTAGCAGTTTGGTGTTCTCACATATCTCTACGTTCTGTTGCATTCTGCAGACATTGTACATGGTGAACAACAGCCACATGCAAGCATGACTTGGCAACCTCATTCTATTCTAAATGTTCTGTAGAATCTCTCCCCAAAACTTTGCAAACAACAAACAAGGTTGGAACAGATTCTAAAGAATGTGTTCCTGAGAATTCCATACATCCATTATTCTCATGATGTTCCAAAATGTAAAAGTATCTGGTATCAACAGTATGCACTTGTTAGTCTGTAGCTAATAACTAACTGCATGTCCCACTTAGCTTACATTGTTATTTTGAACCTGAGGACGTCAAATGTCACTCATAGTTTTCCTCTTAGTCTCATGTCAAAGTGGATGGGAACAATGTCGCAAAAGTTTTTGCAGCTTTACTGGAATATTGTGAAAACATTCTGGGCGAAGTTGCTACTACAGAACTATAATGTTTCATTCTATTTCTATTGTTAATGTTGGTGCATTATTCCCAACCTTGATACAGTATTATGTAATAGAATGTGCCTTTGACCCATTATTTTTTCATGTGAGTACTGACCTCCAGTTGATGGATAGATTGGACAATAGTAATATGCTCTGTTAATTTGAGAGGCTAAATTGCATGTACTCCAAGACTCCCCTACATTTGATTTCAATTGATTTGTCTGGAAGATTTGTGAAATCCCCAAAACTATTTTCAATTAACTGCAAAGTTTCTCATATTTGCCATATTTGTTTCCCAGCAGTGTCCCTCCAGGTTTACTTGATAGCCACATGACTGACTATGCAGTTTTATCAAGAGTATTTTAGGTGACGACCTGACTTTTGATACATGAAGGAACTTTAATTCAGTAACTCATACTTCTCAGAAGACCTGACTGACCGTGCCCTCCTAACCGTGTCCCTCACACTACCCATTAGTCAATGATTTCAGGCTGAATGGCCCAAAGCCACATATTCTTAATTTACATCCTTTTCTTCAATGAGTTCAGTTGCTGTGTGTGTGCACGCACAGCGAGCGCACCCGCTGCTGTGCTAATGAACTTTGTGCATATAGGGTCATTGAAGAGGAGTAGCGTTCAGTAAGTAATTAAACCAATATGTTGCAGAGTAGCTGCAAAAGAACTACTACACTGTGACCTTGATCAGAGTACAACACTGTTGATGTCCTGAGTCCCACAAAGGAATTTGGTCTGTGTTGACCAATGATGGATTAGGTAACTCCCCTTCTCTGCTGATACAATATAGACTAGAGTTGGCACCATTTTTTATGTGCAACATAAATAATAATAATACATAATCCTTTGAATTGTCATGGTCTAAGAGTGTTGGTTGTTGATTCATCATATCTAATGATGATTGTTGTTTTTTGTTTAGTCTTCGGTTTGGTTGAAAATACAGGACAGGGTTCTCTCCAAATAATGTAAGAGAGGCGCTGTGACACCTTGTGGACTGGCTGCGCCACTATGTAATAATAAATAAAATAAAATCCTTATCCTTTAAGGCAATTTGGCAGTTACAGGTGTTCAAAAATGCAAAAAACTGCCTCCCTCCGGGCCTCCCCTCCAGCCATGTTTAATACAAACTGGTGTTAACTGTATTATTGGCTCCTTGGTGGAAAAAGGCATGCAAAAAGCTAGTTGCATTCTTTGCAAGTGGTTAATCACAGACATGCTGCACAGCTCTCTGCAGACAATAGTATTCACATGATGCACAAGTAAAACATGCTGCTCTTTAGCCTATATTGAATGCTGTGCGTTGTGTTCAGAGTCAAAGGTCTTGAGAAACTTACTTAAAGAATGCTCATTGTGTAAAAACACTGTTCTGAGCAGTAGTTGATGTTGAAATTACACCTTGATAGGCCTAATTGGACATTCTCAATTGTGTGCAGACTTTGCAAACAACATAATTGATTTATCAATAGTTGAACAAACCAACTTTGAATCAACTTTCAAACCAACTTAAAACTTGTCTGAAAACAAATCAATCTTGCCTTATGTATATTTGTATTGCACTGTTCCTGTCAGTTAAATTACTTGCCAAGACAGAGTTATTTAATTTTGTTAAAGAGTAGAGTGCTTTGAGTATTTAAACACAGAAAAACACTACAGTTTCTGTGTTACCTCACCTTACTCACTTAACTCCCATCTGTTGTTGGCTATGATTGCTTGAATAAGTGTTTCCCCTACACATTTTTTCAGCAGCGTTGGCAAAGGTTGGTGGGTTCTCCTACTCTCATTGCTGTGCGGGGCGCTGCTGTTAAATGAATATAGGGAAAATACTGCTTATCTGACCCTTTTTGCTTAGGTACTACCACTCTATTGTGCCCTGTGCCAATCAGTCCCTGTATCTATGACTGAACCAAGAGGTCTTACTGTGGTCTGCAGCCAAGCCGTGATGAGATGCTGACAACTCTAAAATCCCTCTCTCTCAAATAACTGTTTAGTTGATAGAAAAGGGCCTAAGATAAGGCAAAGTCGCTGTGATGCCCCTCCAAGATGGCTTCATTTGGCTGGGCCGGTGGATTTTCATGGACATCACTTAGTGTAACAATCTAATTCCTTAGCAAGACTTTCTCTGTCACATATCGTACATTGCTGTCCACTCCCATGCCAAAATAGCCAGCTATTACACCCAAGGTTGCCTGTGGTCTGAGTCGCTTAGCGCTACAAGGGCTGCTTCTTAGCATTGCACTACAGGGGGTGCTCTCTGCCATACCCCTGGAGTTGTTCCTCAGCTGGTAATCATGCTGCACCTCACCTCCTCCGAAGATCTGAGGTGTCCTGTGGACAGATGGAGGTCCATGGTTCAGTGGTGTCTGGGAACACCACGTCCCTGTAAGACCCTCCAGGTTCTACCCCTGAGTAACGGTCCCCCTGCTTTCTCTCTGTGAGACTGACTGTAGCTCCTCTTGTGTCCACAGGCAGGTGAGGGAGAGGCTGAAGAAGGATGTGGAGCAGATGAAGACTCAGGACCCTAACTTTCGACCAGGTCTGGTTGTGTTACAGGTAAGTGCAAGAGTTTGTTTTTAGGGATATAGTTCAAATCTTGATTCTGATTCTCCCATGTAGCCTATTTTCCCATGGCCTGTTTCCCTAGACGGTCAATTAAAAGGATTTGTATCATTTGAGTGTCCTTGAGATAGTCATGAATTTGTGCTGTATGCTAAAAGGGGTACAGAATAAAGCCTGGGGGTCATATCTTTCCTCAGGCAGATTCAGAACCACTCGCTCAGAGTGGAGAGGGGAATTTATTCCATTCTTAAATGGCAGCTAGTTGAATTATGAAACATTATGTATATATTAACTGACATTGGTTATTCACTCATTGACTGGTTTTTAAAGCATTATTGGAACACATGAAGACTACATATTTGCTCCATTCTGCTATGTACTTTTCAGGTGGGGGACAGAGATGATTCAAACCTCTACATCAGCATGAAGCTGAAGGCAGCAGCTGAGGTAAATAACAGTACAAAGTTTGATGTGATCATTTATGTTTCATACATATTCCACATTGTTCCCTGTTCACTTCATAAACTCTTGTTTTTCTTGTAGATTGGAATAAATGCCACACACCTAAGGCTCCCAGAGACTGCCACAGAGGATGAGGTGAGGAGGGATCCTGAGGGGGTTGACATCACAGCTTGCATAGCGTCTCTTCCTGGTGGTCCCTGCAGGCTACTTTCTGTCACTCTTTGTCTCACTCATTCCCTTTCTTTCGATTTCTTTCCCGTCCACGCTCTTTTACACACCCGATATCTCTGTAGGTGCTGCACAGCATTACGGAGGTGAATGAGAACTCTGCTATCCATGGCCTCATCGTTCAGCTGCCTCTGGACTCCATCCACAAAATAGATACTGAGAAGGTGACTAACGCTGTGGCCCCAGAGAAGGATGTAGATGGGTAAGCACTAAGATGTTTCAACATGTTTGTGATGTTCTGTGTGACCAGTTTACTGTCATCAAAGACAGCTCTCAAAAGCCAATCAAACTGTGATAAACTTCTCAAAAAAAATGTGTGCATTTTTCTAGTGACACTCAGGCAAATCATGGAGCTTTCACGTCCACACAATGAAACCACTTTGCCATTCTCGAAGCGTTCTAGTTGCATTTGTGTAGTGTAAACCATGATTATCTTGTGTTTTATTGGACAATTGGCCTAATTTGTGACTAATCTGTGACTTGTCTTAGTGTGTTTTGGAAGCTCCATTCATCCCCCACTCCTCTAAATGACTGTTGCAGGGTTCCCCAATTTTTTTTATATAAAAGACTGTAAAAACACCAACAAATCAGCTTCAATTGATTTTAATTTTGGTTATCTGTTCCAAAGTATTCCCATGCATAATAGAGAGAATGTATATGTGATCATGCACAAATGTAAGCAAGGTTTAGACAAATATTATATCTGTTTGGGCTTCATGCGGTCAATTTGCAGTCTACAAATTATTTTTAATTATGTTCCGGCCCCCTGACCATCCGCTCAAGAACAAATCGGCCCGCGGCTGAATCTATACTGAACTAAAATATAAACGCAACATGTAAAGTGTTGGTCCCATGTTTCATGAGCTGGAATAAAAGATCCCAGAAATGTTCCATAAGCACAAAAAGCTTATTTCTGTCAAATGTTGTGCACAAATTTGTTTACATCTCTGTAAGTGAGCATTTCTCCTTTGCCAAGAAAATCCATCCTCCTGACAGGTGTTGCATATCAAGAAGCTGATTAAATAGCATGATAATTACACAGGTGCACCTTGTCCTGGGGACAATAAAAGGCCACTCTAAAATGTGCAGTTTTGTCACACAACACAATGACACAGATGTCTCAAGTTTTGAGGGAGCATGCAATTGGCATCTTGACTGCAGGAATGTCCACCAGGGGGGTCAAATACTTATTTCCCTCATTAAAATGAGAATTAATAGCTTTTGTCCATAAGGCAGAACCATAGCAAATTGCCTTTGAGTTATATACAAATTCCAAGCTGAATGTGTAAATCAGAGCTTTTTATTGGCTGTGGGGTTTGTGGCTTTTCTTCATCTCCAGAACACAGTGCTGAGTGCCAAGCGCTTCTTGGAGTCTCACCAGCCAGGCAAGTGGAGCATCACCTACACCAAGCTCATCCTGCAGAAGCCTGTGCCAAGGTTGGTCCCCTCATCCTCTGCCCACCTTCTCCTCTGATGTGGAATCAATGTATTTCGTAGTCGTTTAGTCATACTTTTAATACTCCTCCGTACTGTTGCTGAATAATGAAACCTTCCACTAACGGAGGAGGCGCTAGTCTTGGTTCTCTACCTTCATGGTGGAAAGCCCTAAACTTGGTCCTCAGAGACTTGCAAAACATTTTCTGTCTGCTGTTACTGCTGAATAAATGAGTGTGACCTGACTGTGGCCCTCAGTGACATCGTGATCTCACGTTCCTGCGTACCCAAGCCCATCGACCGGATGGCCAGGGAGGTGGGGCTGCTGTTGGAAGAGGTGGAGCTCTATGGGAAGACCAAGGCCAAGGTGCAGCTGGACATCCTCAAACGCCTGCGGGCACAGCCTAATGGGAAATACGTGGTTGTCGCTGGGTACGTTCTGTCTGTCTGGCTGTGTCTGTCTAGATATTTTTTACTGGGTACAATAACCTTTTGTTCTTGACTTGAATCTGTTATTTTTCTATCATGTTGTAGGTGTAACATGTACTACAGTGGCCTGGTACAGAACTCTTTGATTTATCAAGATTGATGATCTATTATGCTCTCTGAAACTTTTCACACCAGTGTTAATGTTGTCTGTACCTCTAGAATCACCCCCACCCCGCTGGGAGAGGGAAAGAGCACCACCACCATAGGACTGGTCCAGGCTCTGGGGGCTCACATGAAGCTCAACGTCTTCGCCTGTGTCCGCCAGCCCTCCCAAGGCCCCACCTTCGGGATCAAAGGTGAGCACTGGCTGATGCTGCTGTTTACTGACTGGTTGGATCCCTTTTGTGTGAAGGTGTTATCAATGCTCAGTTGTTATCGATGCTAAATCACTGGAATGTTCTGTCTACAGGAGGTGCTGCTGGAGGTGGATATTCCCAAGTTATTCCCATGGAGGAGGTACTGCACTGATTGATCTCCCTTCTATCCCAGACATTAATCATTTAGGAAGGGTGTTTCTGCATAAAGCTCTTTGACCATATAGCTTAATTCTGATTCCAGTTCAACCTCCACCTCACTGGCGATATCCACGCCATCACAGCTGCCAACAACCTGGTGGCGGCCGCCATCGACGCCCGCATGTTCCATGAAGCCACCCAAACAGACAAGGTGAACTCTCTCTGTTGTTGACCTCTGTTGTTGAGAAAGAGTGTTCTGCACAAGGTGGTATTCCATGTTTGATGAATGTGTGTGTCAGTCCATTTCATATCTTTCGCACTCATTACCTCTCCCACAGGCTTTATATAACCGTCTGGTCCCCCTTAGTGGAGGTCAGCGGACGTTTTCCCCCATCCAGATAAACAGACTAAAGGTAAAAACATCAGAACATCAGAACGTATCCATGGATAATACCGTTATCATCTTGGCTGTGCTAGTGAGAGAATTTCTCTGCAAGTGTCTGTGTGTATGATCCTTATAGAGACTGGGCATTGAGAAGACTGACCCCACCACTCTCACTGAGGAGGAGATCAACCGCTTCACCCGCCTGGACATGGACCCAGACTCCATCACCTGGCACAGAGGTACTGGAGATACACTGTGTCTGGGGAGACACAGGCAGCTGTTATTGTGTATACTGCATACTATGAGAAATGATGAGATGTAGTTTTATGGGTCTTTGCGTTATTTCAGTGTTGGACACCAATGATCGTTTCCTGAGGAAGATCACCGTTGGCCAATCACCGACTGAGAAGGGACACACTAGGGAGGTATTTCTAAGTTCATAGTGCACATGTTTTTCTACCATTAGTTAGTCACCTACTAATACTGACATGTTGACTCCTGTTCTGTCCCCCTCCCCTCCCCCAGGCCCAGTTCAGCATCTCGGTGGCCAGTGAGATCATGGCTGTGCTGGCTCTCACCAACAGCCTGGAGGACATGCGCCAGCGCCTGGCCAAGATGGTGGTGGCCACCAGCCGCAGCGGGCAGCCCATCACCACAGAGGACCTGGTCAGTGGCCCTAGTCTCCTTCCGCCACACGGTCAACCAACACAGACCGTCAACACATTCAATTGCTCTGTTTTTGACAACATTTACTGTGGTTGTGCAATGATCAGTGGTTGGATTGAGATTTGTGATGAGTGCTTGTTGATTCTGGGCTTCAAAGATTCTTCCTGCGCCTTCCCTCTGTGCAGGGTGTGAGTGGAGCCCTGACTGTGCTGATGAGGGATGCCATCAAGCCCAACCTGATGCAGACTCTGGAGGTGGGTGGGCCTCAGGGCCTCAGAGCCACGGGAGAGGGCTGAACTGTACTGGCCCGGCGACTGGAGGAGGGGGAAGCAAAGCAGCGTGGGAAAATGGGTTTTAGATTCTTTAAATGTTTAGGGTAGTGTGGATGTGATGGTTCCTACATTCTCCTGGAGCAGTGATGACGCAGTCTGGAGTAGACAGATGGTGTCTGCTTGTGGCTGTTTTTAGTTTAGTTACTAATCCCCTATTTTTCTTTGAGAAGTACAGAGGCAGGATTTGGTCTAATCGACAGATATTTCAAAGCCTAGAACTTGCTTAGCTAAACTTATGTTGACTGCAGATAAGTGATTCTGAGTCTGTATGGTGTTTGATGGGGTAGACTGACTGCTGTGAGTCAGAATGGTGACATTGCCACAGGCTGTGTGTGTTCTGCTGCTGTATGACTGAGAGGTGTTTCTCTCAACAGGGAACACCTGTGTTTGTCCATGCCGGACCCTTCGCCAACATTGCCCATGGCAACTCCTCCATCTTGGCTGATAAGATAGCCCTGAAGCTGGTCGGACAGGAGGGCTTCGTGGGTGAGTGGGGCTAAAACACACAGACTCTCCCTTGGCAAGAAACAAAACTATGAACAACTCCTGTAATGTGAGTGTTGGTTGTCTGTCTCATCGAACAGTGACAGAGGCTGGGTTCGGCGCTGACATCGGCATGGAGAAATTCTTCAACATCAAATGCCGCTACTCCGGCCTGCGGCCTCACGTGGTGGTGCTGGTGGCCACCGTCCGAGCCCTGAAGATGCACGGAGGCGGACCAACGGTGAGTGACTGCATAGTTTACAGGCGGTCTCCGGAAATCGTTCTACCTCTGTCCTAATGGTGGTGCCAATGGGCAGCTTTCAGAAAGACTGCTTCAGAAAAAACAATCTAAGGACATGTTTTTACCCTCAAAGGCAAAAGAGTGGTTGCTCAGTGCAGTGAATTATAATCATCAGATCAGCCTAGAGAATGTTCACACGTTATTGTCACATATATATTCTCTTATGGAATGTCATATCCCCCGTCAATGAATGCAGGTGCACTGCTGAGAATGTAATTACATTTCCTGCTGTGTGGCGGTCACACAGGAAGACCTCATTCATATTCACTCTGCTGCTGCTTTAGCTCTACCCCCACAAACACTAGTAAGTTTCATGCCATTGGGTAGGGATTGATCCCATTATTGCTTATGCTATTTTGTTAATTTGGTGGCTTTTTGACTGGACTTTGCTGCAGGTTACTGCTGGGATGCCCCTGCCCAAAGAATATGTGGAAGAGGTAAGACTACTCCCCCCCCCCCCCCCCCCAATAATGGCATATTGCCCATCCTCTGCACTAAGTCTTGGTCGTAAGACTCAATCATTCATTAGAAGACATCAAGCGCATGAGTGTGGTATTTGCTCTGTGTCTTGTGACCTGGTTTAATTCTCATCTGATGCTATTAGTTGATCTGAACTACACAGGCCCATCCATTATTCAGTGAAATTAGATCCAGTTCACAAGCTCCTTTCATTTACATGGACCAGTGCCTAATGCCTACTGGTTACATGTGATCATCGATGTGAGTAGAAAATGGCTGCACTTAACTTGCTCTTCAAGATATCTCGGAGGTGTCTCTACAAAGGCAATGTAATGGCTATATATCAACAAGACCCATTGTGTGTTCTTGCGTAGAACCTTGAGCTGCTTGGGAAGGGCTGCAGTAACATGAGGAAACAGGTGGAAAATGCCACACACTTTGGAGTGCCAGTGGTGGTGGCCGTCAACGCTTTCAAGTAAGTCCTAGTCATGATCCGTGAGCATCTGAAACTATTTTACCCGTTGTCCTGTGTCTTAGTGCTTTGACCTCTGACCTTTGTGACCCTGACTGTAGGACAGACACTGAATCAGAGCTGGACCTGATCTGTAGCCTGGCCAAGGCAGCGGGAGCCTTCGATGCGGTGCGCTGCTCTCACTGGGCTGAAGGGGGTGCTGGTGCCGTGGCCCTGGGACAGGCTGTGCAGAGGGCTTCTGAGGCCCCCAGCGACTTCAAGTTCCTCTATGATGTAGAGGTAAAGTGAGCGTTGGCCTTACTGAAAGACCTTGGTTTTCACTTTATGACATACAGTACCAGTCAAAGGTTTGGACACACCTACTCATTCAAGGGTTTTTCTTTATTTTTACTATTTTCTACATTGTAGAATAATAGTGAAGACATCAAAACTATGAAATAACACATATGGAATCATGTAGTAACCAAAAAGGTGTTGAACAAAACCTCCAGGCTGTGTAAGGGCAATTTTACCAGGAAGGAGAGTGATTGAGTGCTGCATCATATGACCTGGCCTCCACAATCCCCCGATCTCAACCCAATTGAGATGGTTTGGGATGAGTCGGACGGCAGAGTGAAGGAAAAGCAGCCAACAATTGCCCAGCATATGTGGGAACTCCTTCAAGACTGTTGAAAAGCATTCCAGGTGAAGCTGGTTGAGAGAATGCCAAGAGTGTGCAAAGCTGTCATCAAGGCAAAGGGTGGCTATTTGAAGAATCACATTTGTTTAACACTTTTTTTGGTTACTACATGATTCCATATGTGTTATTTCATAGTTTTGATGTCTTCACTATTATTCTTCAATGTAGAAATAAAGAAAAACCCTTGAATGAGTAGGTGTGTCCAAACTTTTGACTGGTAGTGTAGGTGCATTGATTTAATCCTGCTCAGGTCGTAAGGTTTTTCTCATCTTGACTGTTCACTGGCTGGACTCTAATGCTATTATTATTATTATTATTATTCCATTCATCCCATCTCACCATCAGTCTTGTGTCATGTCCATAGATGAAATCACTGATTCACTTCTTATGCTCCGATGACTGTTTTAATCACAGAGTATTCATACATCAACCCCATGTCACTCCATCAGTCAATGTGCAACTGACAGGGGAGGAGGGATGTGCCTGTGACCCCCTGAGTCGAGGCTAGTCGAAATGTGAAATGGCACTATTCTCTACTACAGTGCATCTGTCATAGACAGGAGCAGGACTGCTGCCGTACGCCCCTCTGATGACTGGTGACTGGTGACTGCCCATGCGACTGACTCAGAGCACCAGGGGAATCACTGAGAGGAGTACAGAGGAGAGGAGCAGTGGAATATTGGTTGATTCCTGATATAGGCTATGCAATGGCTACCCACTGGGCACAAACTGGTTCAATCAACATTGTTTCAATGTAATTTGTCAATGTATTGTGAAGTGAAATCTATGTGGAAAATACATTGAATTTGAAAAAAGTTATCAACGTAAACTGTTGTTTTGAGGGTGAAATTTCAACCACAGGATTATGTCATCATGGTAACCAAATTTCAACATAGGAAAAACCTTGTATAAAATATGTTGAATTTGTACCTTTAAAACAACGTCAGATCTTCAACGTTATATCCACTATCAGAAAAAAAACCAATAGGCTGGCAGCACCTCCTATTGGAGAATTGATCTATCTATAGCTATCCCTTTGGTCTCCCATCCAGGGTTTTAATCAAGCCCAGCTATGATATTTGTCACTGACTGTTACCAATGTGCTATCGTGAGAATGATTGGTGAGAGATCTCCACTTAAAAACTAAATTGATAAACTGTTGCTATCGAAGACATTCCAAAGGGAAGGATTAACAGAGCAAATTAAATGTGACCATACTTTGTCACTCATATCATAAATTATGCTATTTAGGCCTATATCGCGTTTGCAAAGTCATCAACAGCTAATTTTAAATTCAATCCAGAATTCAACAAAAAATAGACAATTCGATAGGCCTAGGGTTTCAAGCTCCGGTTGATTTTCAAATGTAATGATATTTAATGATATTGAATTGTGATTGGTTGTCAACACAACCAAATATCAACATTTGAAGGAGATGTATCTTTTGCTTGGATAGTTCTATCTGTGCCACTGACTTAGTCTGTCTTTAATTCCAGTTTGTTTACAAATTAATAATTGTTATGTTGGATTCACGTCTCCATCTCAACCAAAAATCTAAGTTAAAGAATAGGACTAAATCAAATCAAACTTTAAATGCACCTTTAAATAAAGTTTGATTTGATTTAGTCCTATTCTTCAACTTAGATTTTTGGCTGAGATGGAGACGTGAATCCAACATATAAATTATTACTTTGTAGACTAACTGAAATTGAAGACTAAGTCAGTGGCACAGATGGAACTAGCCAAGCACAAGATCAATCTCCTTCAAATGTTGATATTTGGTTGCATTGACAACCAAACACAATTCAATATCACTTTTGAAATACACTATATGTACAAAAGTATGTGGACACCCCTTAAAATTAGTGGATTTGGCTATTTCAGCCATACCATTGCTGACAGGTGTGTAAAATCGAGCACACCGCCACGCTATCTCCATAGACAAACATTGGCAGTAGAATGGCCCGTACTGAAGAGCTCAGTGACTTTCAATGTGGCACTGTCATAGGATGCCACCTATCCAACAAGTCAGTTCGTAAAATGTCTGCCCTGCTAGAGCTGCCCCGGTCAACTTTAATTGCTGTTATTGTGAAGTGGAAACATCTAAGCGCAACAACGGCTCAGCCACGAAGTGGTAGGCCACACAAGCTCACAGAACTGGACCGCCGAGAGCTGATGCACGTAGCATGTAAAAATCTTCTGTCCTCGGTTGCAACACTCAATCCCGAGTTCCAAACTGCCTCTGGAAGCAACGTCAGCACAAGAACTGTTCGTCGAGAGCTTCATGAAATGGGTTTCCATGGCCGAGCAGCCGCACACAAGCCTAAGATAAACATGCGCAATGCCAAGCGTCGGTTGGAGTGGTGTAAAACTTGCCGCCATTGTTCTCTGGAGCAGTGGAAACGTGTTCTCTGGAGTGATGAATCACGCTTCACAATCTGGCAGTCCGATGGACGAATCTGGGTTTGGCCGATGCCAGGAGAACGCTACCTGCCTGAATGCATAGTGTCAACTGTAAAGTTTGGTGGAGGAGGAATAATGGTCTGGGGTTGTTTTTCATGGTTCGGGCTAGGCCCCTTAGTTCCAGTGAAGGGAAATCTTAACGCTACAGCATTCAATGACATTCTAGATGATTCTGTGCTTCCAACTTTGTGGCAACAGTTTGGGGAAGGCACTTTCCTGTTTCAGCATGACGATGCCTCCGTGGACAAAGTGAGGTCCATACAGAAATGGTTTGTCGAGATCGGTGTGGAAGAATTTGACTGGCCTGCACAGAGCCCTGACCTCAACCCTATCGACCACTTTTGGGATGAATTGGAACGCCGACTGCAAGCCAGGCCTAATCACCCAACATCAGTGGCCGACCTCCCTAATGCTCGTGGCTGAATGGAAGCCCCCGCAGCAATGTTCCAACATCTAGTGGAAAGCCTTCCCAGAAGAGTAGAGGCTGTTATAGCAGCAAAGGGGGACCAACTCCATATTAATGCCCATGATTTTGGAATGAGATGTTCGACAAGCAGGTGTCCATATACTTTTGGTCATGTAGTGTACAATAAATAGCCTATTAACTTGTCAACAAATGATATGCTGGATTCACTGCTCCAACTCAACCAAAAATGAATGTTAAAGAATGGGATTAAGCCAGTGGCTCAGATGGAACTATCCAAGCAGTAGATACATATCCTTTAAATGTTGATATTTGGTTGCGTTGTCAACCAAACACAATTCAATATGACTTTTACAGTAAATAGTCTTAACATTCAGCTATTTATGGTATCTTACAAACTAATGTAACATTCAACCTTCAAATGAGTAACACATCCATGGCCACATTGAGGTTAATTCATAATAATAACTTCATCATTATAAAGTGTGCATGTTCAAGATAGCATGCATAGGTCGTTGCAGGTCTGTGGAGATCTTCACAATTGCTGTTCTAATCTGTGGAGAATCTGGAACGGCATTGATTGCTTGCGCCATGTACTTTTAATGTAATCTCAACTGCAATCCAGGTAATTTGGTTCTGCTATTAGATGAAGCACAGTGATAACACTATGTTGTATAAATAAACAACATATCTGACATTGTATTCCCATTTGAACTTTAGTGTGCTTTTAAATGGTTGAAAGCGCAGTGATAGACATTTGTATGACAACTAAACCAAAAATCGGATTGGAATTTGGTTGTGCTTTTAGATGGTTGAAAGCATAGTGATAACACATTGGAAATTCAACTTACTTTTGGCTGTCTTTTTGAGATTTACATTGACATTTTAGTCATTTAGCAGATGCTCTTATCCAGAGCGATTTAAAGTTAGATGGTTGTAATCTCATTGATCAACGTCTCAACCAAATATTACCCAATTATCCACGTTAAAATGACATGGTACTGTTGCAAATGCGTGCACTAAATTGAAACATGAGTGTAGATGGCCTGAACCAGTTCTATGGTACTCATATGTCGTGCATATGTGTATTTTTGTCTGTCTGAATCACCTTTAGCTGCCCATTGTGGATAAGATCCGGATCATTGCTCAGAAGATCTATGGGGCTGATGACATAGAGTTGCTGCCAGATGCCCAGCTCAAGGTGGAACTCTACACCAAACAGGTACAATAGCTATGAGACAAAGGATTTTAATGGAGACGGTTATTTGTTTACATGATTTCTGGAGCTCATTCTACTCAAGGACATGGGCCTTCTTCCTTCCATTGTCAACCTCATCCTTTAAGGTTCAAGAAAAAGAGACTTAAGGACAGACTTGAAAGAAAAAACAATTCTGTAAATAAAGACTTACATTTCTATTTGAGGTTATAATCTCCTTTCAGTGAATGCCATTCTTGTCTTGTTCAGGGCTTTGGGAATCTGCCCATCTGCATGGCAAAGACCCATCTGTCCCTGTCCCACGAGGCGGATAAAAAGGGGGTGCCCACAGGGTTCGTCCTGCCCATCAGAGACATCCGTGCCAGTGTGGGTGCTGGGTTCCTCTACCCTCTGGTTGGCATGGTAAGAAAGCACTGGCCTCAACAGAGAATCAACTGAATCAATGGCGAGTCAAATCCATCTCTTGATCAGAGGGCACAAAAATACTGATATAGTAATTTTTTTCTGCCCCATCCTAGATGCCCACGATTCCAGGGCTGCCCACAAGGCCATGTTTCTACGACATTGACCTGGACCCTGAGACTGAGCAGGTCAACGGACTATTCTAATAGGGGCTCCACCCTGTTTACCTGAAGGAATCCACTAACACTACAGCTATACGAATGACATCAATGCAACAACCAATAGTAGTTTACAGATATGGTTGATGTCTGTGATAATTCTGGATATTCTCTCTGTTGCGCTCTCTTTCTCTCTTTCGATCTCTATGTCTGTGATAATTCTGGATATTCTCTCTGTTGCGCTCTCTTTCGATCTCTATCTTTCATAAACAGTCGTGGTCTGTGGTCTGCAGCCCCCACAACGAGCCCTAATGAAATGTGGTGGAGCAGTAACTGGAAGCTCTTCCCTCCCCTGTCAATAATGTCCTGTATTTTTCACTCAGTCGCTGACGTCTGTCAATAATTCATTTGCGCTGCCCGTGGCCACTGAAGGGTAAACTAAAGAAACGTAATTAATTAGGAAACTGTTTGTCCCCCGAGACTAACTCTGTATTAGTATTCTAGCAGGGGGAAATGACCTGCTTACATTCCTTCAATAATCATCTCTGAAAATAAACAAACCTTCCCAGAAGTTACTGTATCTTATCCCTCCAGAAGTTACTGTATCTTATCCCTCCAGAAGTTACTGTATCTTATCCCTCCAGAAGTTACTGTATCTTATCCCTCCAGAAGTTACTGTATCTTATCCCTCCAGAAGTTACTGTATCTTATCCCTCCAGAAGTTACTGTATCTTATCCCTCCAGAAGTTACTGTATCTTATCCCTCCAGAAGTTACTGTATCTTATCTTATCCCTCCAGAAGTTACTGTATCTTATCCCTCCAGAAGTTACTGTATCTTATCCCTCCAGAAGTTACTGTATCTTATCCCTCCAGAAGTTACTGTATCTTATCCCTCCAGAAGTTACTGTATCTTATCCCTCCAGAAGTTACTGTATCTTATCCCTCCAGAAGTTACTGTATCTTATCCCTCCAGAAGTTACTGTATCTTATCCCTCCAGAAGTACAGTGTTGTTTGATAATACTGTGCATGGCAAGGAGACCCTAGGGAGAGGGAGGTCTCAGATCATGAATCAGGTGGTTATCTGTGTGATTTGTGTGTAAATCAGACTCTGTCTACTGCCATGGACTGGTAAAGACATGTGCCTTTGGATTCAAAACAGTGTTGAAAATTAAGCAGAACAAATTCTGACATTCCTTGTTGTTTAAAGATTTGTCCTAATTGTGCCTCTTCAAATATTTCATTTTTTTTTTTTTTCTTTGATATTGTAATATAGAATGACCAATGTATAATACTGTTAAAGTACTGTACACTAATTCATGACACTTTTAGATCAAAACATAATGATTAAATGGAAAAAAAGTATTTTAAATGGAAAATGTCTCTGTTCATTGGAAACACCTTTTTTGGTTTTAATGAATAGCACAGGTGCTATGTTATTTTTTCTACAGAGTGGATTTCCCCACTGAGGGTTTGATTGTATCTTACCCTTAGTTGATTACCTTCGTAACTGAAATCGAGGGGGGAGGGGGGGTTGAGGTGTGTGCATTAGTTTTGTGACTGGGAACCAGAGAAGCTACAATTATAGAGATGAGTCTGACATGGACCACCTGCTGGGGCTGCCATCTGCCTAGCAGCACAACTACATGCAGAATCAGAGCCAGGTAGCATGGCTGTGCAGCTCATTTAGAGAAGAGCAGGAAAAACAAACAGCACTGTAGTCTTAACTATTCACAAAGCTTTATACACTGTGTGCACAATTATTAGGCAAGTTGTATGTTTGAGGATTAATTTATTATTGAACAACTACAGTGCTCTCGGTCAATCCAAAATGTTAATAAACCTCAAACCTGAATATTTAAGAAAGTAAAAGTGAGGTTTTAGCTTTCTTTGGAGAAAGTTCCCCATCTCACTTATTTTCATCTGTTAAAGTGAGAATAATAAACAAACAACTCAAAATGTACAAATAAACATTTCTGACATTTCAAAAAAAATATCAGCGACCAATATAGCCACCCTTCTTTTCAATAACAGTCATAAGCCTTCCATCCATGGAGTCTGTCAGTTTCTTGATCTGTTGACAATCAACTTTTTGTGCAGCAGCACAAACACTGGTCAGAGAGGTGTACAGTTTTCCTTCACCATAAATCGACCGTTTAAGAAGGGACCACAAGTTCTCAATATGGTTTAGGTCAGGTGAGGAAGCGGGCCGTGTCATTATTCTTTCATCTTTAAGGCCTTTACTGGCTAGCCACGCAGTGGAGTACTTTGATGTATGCGATGGAGCATTGTCCTGCATAAAAATCATGGTCTTCTTGAAAGATGCAGACTTTTTCCTGTACCACTGTTTGAAGAAAGTGTCTTCTAAAAACTGGCAGTAGGTTTGGGAGTTGAGTTTGAGTCCATCTTCAACCCGAAAAGGTCCAACTAGCTCATCTTTAATAATACCAGCCCATACCAGTACCCCACCTCCACCTTGCTGGCGTCTGAGTCGAAGTGGAGCTCCGTGCTCGTTACTGATCCAGCCACGGGACCATCCATCTGGTCCGTCAAGAGTCACTCATCTCATCAGTCCATAAAACCTTAGAAAAATCTGTCTTCAGATATTTCTTGGCCCAGTCTTGACGTTTCAACTTATGTGTCTTGTTCAGTGGTGGTCGGGTTTCAGCCTTCCTTACCTTGGCCTTAGCTTCACGTTTGATTCTTCTCAAATCTTTGGCAGTTAATTTGCGTCTTTTTTTCTCAACACGGTTCTTGCGACCCTGTTGACTATTTGCAACAAAACATTTGATGGTTCTGTGATCACGCCCCAATATCTTAGCAATTTCAAGAGTGCTGCATCCCTCTGAAAGACTTTTTACAATTTTTGACTTTTCAGAGTCAGTTAAATCTATTTTTTGGCCCATTTTGCCTGAGGAAAAGAAGCTGCCTAATAATTATGCACACCTTGATATAGGGTGTTGATCTCCTTAGGCCACACCCTCCCTCATTACACAAATACACATCACCTGACATGCTTAAATCCAATAAGCATTCCAGTTTATACAGCTTGGAGTTGGGAAATATGCATAATAATGTTGATATGGTCAAAATACTGACTTGCCAAATAATTGTGCACAGTGTATTGTATAGGCTGCCACGTCTATTCTCTTTGTCCCTGTTACTGAGACAGGGATTAATCTATTCTACACTGATTGTAGTATCAATCAGAGTTGAAGGGGGTGGCCGTAGTGCATAATTACATATTGGTGACAATTTTGTGTCAATTGAAAACAGAGATTCACAAATACTGTGCCTTCAGAAAGTATTCATACCCCTTGACTTATTCCACATTTTGTATTACATCCTGAATTGAAAATTGATTTTTCTCATCCATCTACACACAATAATCCATAATGACAAAGTGAAAACATGTTTTTAGAAATGTTAGCAAATTTATTGAAAACGAAATACAGAAATATCTCATTTACATAAGTATTCACACCTCTGAATCAACAATTTGTTGCACCTTTGGTGGCGATTTACAGCTGTGAGTCTTTCTGGGTAAGTCTCTAAGAGCTTTCCACACCTGGATTGTACAACATTTGGCCATTTACTATTTTCAAATTATTCAAGCTCCGTCAAATTGGTTGTTGATCATAGCTAGACAACCATTTTCCGGTATTGCCATAGATTTTCAAGTAGATTTAAGCCAAAACTGTAACTCGGCCACTCAGGAACATTCACTGTCTTCTTGGTAAGCAACTGCAGTGTAGATTTGACCTCGTGTTTTAGGTTATTGTCCTGCTGAAAGGTGAATTCATCTCCCAGTGTCTGGTGGAAAGCAGACTGAACCAGGTTTTCCTCTAGGATTTTGCCTGTGCTTAGCTCCATTCCGTTTCTTTTTTATCCTGAAAAATTCCCCAGTCCTTAAAGATTACAAGCATACTCATAACATGATGCAGCCACCACTATATTTGAAAATATGGAGAGTGGTACTCAGTAATGTGTGTATTGGATTTGCCCCAAACATAACACTTTGTATTCAGAAAAAAAAGTTAATTGCTTTGCCACATTTCTTGCAGTATTACTTTAGTGCCTTGATGCATGTTTTGGAATATTTTCACTCTGTCAATTAGGTTAGTATTGTGGAGTAACTACAAAGTTGTTGATCCATCCTCTGTTTTTGCATATCACAGCCATTAAACTCTCTAACTGTTTTAAAGTCACCATTGGCCTCATGGTCAAATCGCTGAGTGGTTTCCTTCCTCTCCGGCAACTGAGTTAGGAAGGACGCCTGTATCTTTGTAGTTGACTGGGTGTATTGATACACCATCCAAAGTGTAATTAATAACTTCACCATGCTCAAAGGGATCATCAATGTCTGCTTTGGTTGAATCTGTGTTTGAAATTCACTGCTCCTCTGAGGGACCTTACAGATAATTGTATGTGTGTGGTACAGAAATGAGGTAGTCATTAAAAAATCATGTTAAACACTATTATTGCACACAGAGTGAGTCCATGCAACTTATTATGTTAAGCAAATGTTACTCCTGAACTTATTTAGGTTTGCCATAACAAAGGGGTTGAATACTTATTGACTCAAGACATTTCAGCTTTTCATTTTTAATTAATTTATAAAAATATCCACTTTGACATTATGGGGTATTGTGTGTAGGCCAGTGAGAAAAACATCTCAATTAATACATTTTAAATTCAGGCTGAAAAAAACAAAATGTGGAAAAGTCAAGAGGTGTGAATACTTTCTGAAGGCACTGTATGTTGTAGTGATAGTGGGCAGGGTACTGTGCTACAATCCAATCAATGTGTCACTATGGAAACCGGGTAGGATGCTGCTCCTTTGAAACATGTAAATGAAACATACTGCTTGCTCTCTGAGAGAGCTCCGTTGGACACTTGCGCATGGACTGCGGCTTGTCAGGACGTCTACAGGTATTGTGCCACCATGTATCTCATGGCATTGGGGAATTAAGAAATATTGTCCTACAGAGTTTTACAAACAGTAAGTAGAACATGATTATATATTTTTTACATCTGAATAATTGTATT